GGCCCGCCGGGAGGCGGCCCGGGGCCTTTCTGACGGGTTCCCCTTCCCCTAGGAAAGAGAGGACGAGCACCGACACCGAGATACAGCGCTTCATTGCCAGGAAGGCGGATCTCCTTTTTGCTCAGTCGTGGAAACCCAATGGTCCTCTTTCTGACACAATTGAAGAAAATGAAGGTAAACGTGCTCAAACCGAGCTTTTCTGTAAAAGGATGCAGTTGTAAAATGTCTACTGCATAGCATAAAGATGCAAAAAAGTGGGTGCTGCTAAAACCAGGGTCAAAGAATTTTTGGTATTGTGCTTTTTCTCGTTTATGTGTAAACTTGGTTATTAATCAGATTTTAAAATATTTTGCTGCAACGAAGTAGTCTCTTATTTGAGGATGTAGCTCCGTTGTTACCTACCTGCAAATGTCTCATGTGTTGCAGAGTATTATGCTGTTATGCCTCCCCTGGAACAGTTCATGGAGGTTCCCAGGGAAGACAGGAGAGAACTATTCTTCCGAGACATCGAACGTGGTGATATCGTGATTGGGAGGATTACTTCTATTCGGGAATTTGGCTTTTTCATGGTGTTGATTTGTCTGGGAAGTGGTGTCATACGGGAGATCTCGGATTTAGAAATCACTGTAAGATGGCTATGATTAATAGGGTTTTACTCTAGAACAGTAGTTTTTTTAATGAATGGCTGCATCTTGCATCTTTTAATGAAATGGAGTGGGTGAAGGCAGAACTGAACTCTGGGGCAATGAATAGTAGTCTGACTTTGACAACATACGATGCTCTGCAGAGGCAGCAAACGCTTCCCCCCCCTTCTTACCTCCTGTCCCCCACCGTATACTCAAAACGCATTAACTCTTTATTGAAAAGTCCATCTATTTATGGATATGTACATTTTGATTTTTAAACCATGCTAATTTTATTGTGCTTTATTATCTGAGCTTGGCTGTGCGCTAAGATTAAACTGGTATTCCTCTAGTTTAATTTTGGAGGAAGAAAAAACTCTTGATTTTTATTTAAATGCTTTGGACCATTTAGCGATAAAGACTGTTTGAAATTCAGCTAGTCCTGTTGGCTTCAGTGATGTTATTGCACGCTTTACTTCCATGGGATAACTGCTTCTATATTTAAAAATTTGTATATGCCTATATTTTAAGATGACTTTGCATGTTAAAAGGTTGTTGTGCAAATGAATTCTGAGTGGAGGGGGAAAAAGGGGCAAGTTTTGTAATGCAGCCTATTTGGTTCTATAGCTACTTGTGTACTTTATCGTGTTTTTACTCTTTTCCGTTGCAGGCTCTTTGTCCATTGCGAGATGTGCCTTCTCAGAGCAACCACGGAGATCCTTTATCTTATTATCAGACTGGAGACATTATTCGAGGCGAGTAGCTGCAGAAATTGTTTCAGGAATCTGTTTGCTTCATTTTTGAGAGAATTCTGCCATTTTGTCTAAACTTTTACTATTTTTATAGCTGCGGTCAAGGATGTTGATCGTTACCACGAAAAACTCACGATATCGCTTTACAGCTCGGCTCTTCCACCCTATCTTTCTAGTACAAAACTAGGAGTAATTACCTCTGATGAATTTCCATTACATTACAGGTAAGAATTTCCTCTTCAGTTGTACTGCTCTAGGTGTGTTCAGTTGGTCTGAAGAGTGTCTTTGACAGACTGTCCTTTAAATTTGTTAGGGTTGTGAGTGACTTAGTTGGTGACGTATTTTGTTCATCGTTCATCTCTTTAACACACGTGTTTCTGGATATGTCAGATGTGATTTGTTTTTAGAGTCTTTCCCAAAAGGTAACCTCACTCTGCTTTTTGCTTCTGTTATGTCCTCTAAATTTAGAACTTGAGATATCTGTCATTGTGAGTCTGCATTAAGAGAGACCCACCAAAAACCTATGGACTTGGAAGACTGAAGTATTAAACTCTTAAAATGACCTTTAACAAATGGCAGAACATGGCTGTCTCTGTAATTTCATAAGGCGCTAGAGGATAGGTGCTAAAATGAATTCCAAACAACTCTTAGGCTCTAGGACGAAAGGTTGGCTAAACAGTAAGAAGATTCTCATCAGGGAAAGCGTGTAAGACAAAGGTGTCACCATTACACCTCAAAGACAAGGTGTCACCGTAACATAATTAGCTTGTTTGCCAGTAATAAACATCAGTACACTTATACTTGCTCTAAACAGAAGCGTCATAAAATTGAGCGTTCAACAGTACAATGAAGTTGTGTTTGTGTGCATCGGTGCTTTCTTTAAGGCGAAGCATGGAAGTTGCCAATACGTTGGAGACATATGAAGAGGTTTTGCATCGTTCTCCAGGATTTGCTAATCCATCAGTAGTTGAATATTTAGCAGAAAAGCTAGGACTGAGTGAAACAAACCCACCATCTTTGATGAGAGGTCTTCAAGTGTAAGTGATTTCTTGCAATGATCCTATAGCTTTGTGGAGGTTATTCTAATCCACTGAAATAAACTTGTGATGGGCAGTTTATGTTCAGCAACTTCCTAGACCACTGATACTTAAACTGTAGTCATTCTGTTTTGCATCACTGACACCTACATGTCCTTAAATATTTAAAGCTAACTGCTTTGGAGCTAGAAATTTAACTTTAGAATTCTTTTGCTGTGAAAAACAAAGATGACTTATCCAACAAAATACATTTGATACCAATTACTTGGTATCAAGTTATTACTCAGGTCTTGTTAACATCTTTGGATGGAAATGTGAGATGTTTAGGTTCTAATGTGTTTTGTGTCTCATATTTATTCATAATATTTATTTTAGTAATAGATCTGAAGTTTTAGGGAATATAGCATCAAACATATCTGGCTATTGATATTATAAGCCCTTAAATATTAGGCTCCTAAGCAGGTGTGAATATGGTATATTGTTAAATGTACTGCAGCTGTATTAGTTCAATTCAGCACTTTAGAACAGGTCAGGAAAAACTCTTTTGGAAATGGAAAAGAATATTCCCAACTGGAGAACAGGAAGGCATTGTATCAATGATATTTCGGCCTCTGTTAGATTTAATTACAGCTTTTAAGGTCAGTTTTATAGATACAGAAGGCAACTTGAGTTTTTTGTTCATCTGCACTTTTTTTTCTTTATCCTTAAAGCAAGAATTTCAGTGAAGAAGACTTTGCTCCTGCATTGAGGAAAAGACAGTCTGCATCTTGGGCCTTGAAATGGTATGTGATCCTTCATTTTCTTGTCAGCGCTTATTCCAAGATTAGGTTATAGGTTATATTTCTTAAAATGTAGTCTGAACTAGTTTTTCTACAGTACGTACATAGTCTGGATGTAAGTAAGAGGACTTGCTTGAAAGTCTTAATTGCCAAGAAGATACACGATAAAGAAGGTTTGAAGATACACTTGCAAATACCTATCAGGTTTAATGGGAGAACTTTCTAGGATACTATGCTGGCCAATAGATTAGATGACAGCAACATTTGTGACAATACCGAGGAGATAAGTTCTCAGTTTTACAATTAGCAATTGAATGACCTAATGTTGCTCGCTATGCCTTTTAAGCCTCAAACCATAGATTTAACAACTGTACGTGCTGTCTTTGGAAAGTAAATATATTGACATGGCTACATTTGGAACAGCAGCTCTGGATAGGTGCCATTGCTTGTAGGCTATGCAGTATACTTGGGTATGCTAGAGAGTGGAGGAAAATGTAAATCGTTCGTAGAAAAAGCTTCTCTTTGAATCCCCCAGCTCAAAAAGAAGGGGAGTGAGGCCTCAGAATTTCCGATTTCTGTGCTAGCAAAGCGTGTTTTTTTTCATGAAACAATAGTGCTTTGTGACTTCAGTTAATTATAGAAGGGGTTTCTTTTAATATTAAAACATTGAAGTTGTTAATTATTTTGACCTAAAAAAGGTAAGAGAAAAGGTTCATCTTTAAGCCAAGAAATGAGACTGAGCATTTTTTCTTGCATTGAAAAGGGGAATAAATATAGAAATTAAGGACAATTGCTATGGGGAGATCATGTCGTTCTTGACCTTGTTTGAAGAAGTGTAAAGTTGCCAGAAAAGTTTTTCCCTTCGCTGCTGGTCCGGGGGCAGTGGATGGAAACAGATATGAGCCTTTTCCCGTCTTGACAGCCTCTGTTTGTAGTCCAGGCAGGTTGGTTGGAAAGTATCCTCATCGTTCTCTTCTGGAGATCCTTCCTCAGTTTCCAAAGAGAGAATTTATAGTTTCCCTATGAAAAATTTGTGTGGCCTGCTAGGAAAAGAGTAAGATGCAATAGTGCGCAGGCCAAGTGCCGAGCAGCTCCTGACAGCCGTGAGCGGTGGGCAAGTGCAGCCAGCTGCGCTGGGGCAGTAGTGCAGGGCAGAGCTGCTCAGGCCTCACACACAGACCAGATTTTAACTTAGTAAATCAATTATGTTACTAGAGCTACAAGTAGTAATGTGTCTAACAAGTTATTAAATTAAATCTGATTGTTTAAAATAAAGAATTGAAGTCTTTAGTGGAAAGTTCTGATATTCAACACGTATCTGTTACCTGCCAAAAAGTTGATCTTTTGGCAAATATAAAAGAAAGATTCAGATAATGACTGTGAAATATAAAACCTCAAAATATTTCAGTGTAGGATGAACTGGCATCAGTGCATACCTCTACTGCTCTCGCCTCGTGTTCTTGATCTAATGGTGGATTTAGCTCTGTATGTTATTAAAACTGTTCCAGTGTTAGTATGATCGGTCATGTCACAGAGTGGTTGAGGTTGGAAGGGACCTCTGGAGATCATCTAGTCCAACCCCCCTGCTCCAGCAGGGTCCCCTAGAGCACTGTGCCCGGGACCCTGTGCAGACAGCTCTCGAGCACCTCCAGCAAAGGAGACTCCGCCGCCTCTCCGGGCACCCTGCCCCAGCGCTCCGCCACCCTCCCCGTCGAGAAGTCCGTCCTCGCGTTCGGGCGGAACTTCCCGGGTCTCGGTTCGTGCCCGTCGCCTCTCGGCCC